TAAGAAACCGAATTCATTTTGTATAAAAATACAATACAAAATTGATGGATTTTAGATGTTTTTAAACTTACTTCACTTATGCCACGATATTACTAATTCAAGATTGAGTGGGGGCCGCTTTTTGTAGTGAATTTGACTTTTACATAATCGCACGGCATATCAAAGAAACTCTTACAAAAGAGGTATAGTTTTGTTAGTTAAATAAGATAAAGGTTATAATTTTATCGTTATCCACCATCAAAAAACTACATTTAAAATTTAAATTGTGTTCCACCCAGTTTCGCAAATACAATATCTATTTAGATTTAGATCGATTTTATATTATTGTAGTATAATGTTTCAAAAATTCAATAGCACAGGAACGGTCAACCGCACGTCATGTTATGCGAATCTGTCAAATTTCTCCGCTTGATTTTAAAACTTATTTATTTATTTTGTAACTTACAGGTGTACCCCAATGCGATAGTGAAAGCAAAATTATTCAATTAAATTATTAAAATTATAATACACGAATTGACATTTAAACATCATAAAATCATTAAATTAATAGTCATTAAATAATCATACATAATATATAAAAATAAAAAAATAATTCTTGTCATATATAATAATCAGGGCATTAAAAATTCAAATAACAAAAATACATTTAAAATTAATACAAACCATTCAATTTTTTTTTCAGTATAGCATCGCGAATGCCAAATTGATCAAATACAATCAATACTACGACATTGAAGTTTGTAGAAAGATGAGTAAATAGATTCAGATACTCTTGGCCTTTCTTTACCTATAGCATTTGACGTCAAGTCTCGAACAACTTGTCTAGTAAGTAATACCTAAACATTTATGTTTAGGTATACCTTGAATTTTTCTATGCACGAGACGAACATTTACATAAGTCTATAGTTACTTATTCAAGGGTAATGTTAACAAACTCATTTACAAATATAAATATCAGAAAACTTCACATACATCACGCAGATCTTAATTGAACTAACTTTTGGAAAGGAGGTTCTGTATTTGGTGTTTTTTTTTATGTATTCCCCAATGCGTCCTCAAATTTAGGACTGATTTTAAAATTGATTTTTGTCCCTGGTAAATTAAGTTTGTCCCTGGCGCTCTGAGATGTGACCCGAACCTATGACATTTTACAATCCGGCCGACTGCTCTAACCACTGAGCTATCCAGGACGTAAAAGGACTGACGAATTTTTCAAGCGCGTTACTTTTTCGCTTCTACAGAGCGTATTTTCATCAATGTTCAGGCAATTCACCCAAACAGCCGAAAGAAATATTTTTTCAAATATTTAAACTTTCGACGAGATGAAACTTTGTTGTTTATAATTATAACTATATTATAAAATTAATCATTTAATCGTTTATTATAAAAAGTTGAAATGAAACACAGATTAAATAAATTCATTTAATTATTATCATTGAATCCTTAAAATATACAATCATATACTTAAATGTTGTACTATAAAAGATTGAAAAGTTCTCATTTAATGTTGACAAACAACAAAGGAATCCACCGAGATTTTAGAACCGTGAATCAGTGGCTTAATTGTCTTATTTCAACAACTATCGCAATCCCTTTAAAGGTATGGCGATTTATGAAATGATGTTAAATCTGAAGTTGCAATGTTGATTTGAATGATAATAAAAAAATTAAAAGTTGATAACTTAAACTTAAAAAGTAATATGCTTCAAGCTGTCTAAATCCTCCTAATCCAGATTCGATTTCGGGCTTTAATTTGTTAAAAGCTGGGTTTAAAATTGAAGTGCTGTTGTAAGTACTGTCATTTGAATATAACCAAGAAAACAGAAAAAATACGGATCAAACACCCAAAGGTTCTCAAAGTGAGCGAGCATCTGGAGCAGCGCAATAGGGATTATGCTTGGATAAAAAAAGATTATCCATTTAGTCCATTAGTTAGATTATTAAAAAATAATAATAATAAAAAATTTAATAAAAAATAAGTGTTAAGAAATGGGACATGTTACGTCACAACTATTTAAAAAAATTACAAATGTACGTAATGCAACAATTCGATCACCGTAGTTTATTGATAACGAAAAAATAAGTGTTTAATATTCTTTAATAATCCACCTGGGATCAGACAAACAAAAAATAATCGTCATCCCTATTCGACGGTAGGGGGCCAGCGACAACATTGACGTAATGGTCATCACCATGATTAAGATTAAGCTGTCCAAAATTGCAACTCAATTTGCAACAAAAGACAAACCCAACACATTAATATTAGAGATATTTCTTTTGGCACTATATTTGTTGCTTTTCATTTAAATAAAAAACCTTATTTTCTTCAACAACCTATATTTTTTTAGGGGATTCGATTAGTTAGTTAAGGGGTTCGTTGTCATCTGAAATCTTTTAAGGGGATTTGTGGAGCCAAAAGTTTGAGAATCTTTGAACAGCCTATAAAATATCAGGCTCGGGACTGGGAGGCGGATAAAAGGGGTCACCCACGCCTTTTTTGCGTTATAATTGTTAAAAGAGCCACCCTCAAACGCTCACTCAATTTTTTATAAGAACAATGAAAAATGTAATTTATAATTTTAATTAAACGTCGAGTTATCTAAAATCTGGTGGTTTCAGATGTTCCTAGGTTTTCTATTATCTATGTTATAGGTATAATTTTTTTTATTAAAAACACTTATATATCTCTATCTAAGAAACGAATTACATAATAATAAATTACATTCCTCTTTTAAATATGCAATGATGAAAATGCAATATTTCCAAAAGTGTCAAAAATGGATCATACTTGATTAAGCCAATTTTTGACTAGGTATGGCTCAGCATTGCTGATCTATATTATAATCAGCTTCCAATTCAATGTCACGCTAAAGGTTTTATTACAATGAAGCTTTGCTGTAACAATGCTCGACGTCGAGTTCGAGGTTGGTTTAATTTATAGAATAGGCCATAAATTCTGCTAAATTTTGATATATGATACATAAACTTAATATATTTGATTAATTTCGCATTCCCAATGCTATAGGTACTGAAAAACATTCTTAATACAAATGCTTAAAAAATCCACTTGGTCCTTGGCACCCTGAGATGGGATTCGAACCCACGATCTTTCGCAATTCGCTCTGTAGTAGCGAAAAGTAATAAGTGCTTGAAAGATTCGTCAGTCCTGTTAGGTCCTGGGTAGCTCAGTGGTTAGAGCAGCCGCCCGGATTGCGAAAGGGGTGGGTTCGAAACCCACGACCTTTCGCCCATCTCAGGGTGCCAGGGACCAAGTGGATTTTTTAAGCATTTGTATTAAGATTATAAAGTTAATGATCGCATCTAAATAGAATCTCAAGTACTTGCAGTTTGCTTTTGTAATATCTACCTGAAGTCCAATATTATAAGTGCTATGTTCCTCGCAAATTAATTGCGGCAGATATATTTATTATTTTGTGGTCTAGTGACTAGAACTGTATAATAGAAGATAATAGTTGATACCCTATTGATTTTTCATAATTACGCTAACATTAGTAGAGTAGGGATGATAACTAAGTGAAAAAAAAGGAAATTCTATTTATTCCGTCACTCAGATAATAGAAAAATATTAGATGCGTATTTGTTTAGTTTGTAAAGTTTAGGAGTGGGGGTTCGGGTACGTCACAGTTTTGTAGAAAATGTACAAATGCGTGACGTCATGTGACATTTCGACTCAACGTATCGTCGTAATTTAATGATTACGCAGAAAATGAAAAATACTGCTATAGAGCAGGCCTGGGCAAATGGCGGCCCGCGGGCCGAAGCATTGTATATACTGTTATTATTAAAAACAAAAGTATTAGTTTTTCTCTAACATAAATGGTGCATAAAAATTTTTAGATAAAATATTAAGCAATACTTATACACATTATTAGGGACGGTGGGAGCCAAAATTTTCTCCCGGACAACCGCTCTTTTCAGCGCTTCCAATTCCAAAATATAATTATGATAATTGAACAATTACAGTATGCATAATAGTCGCACAATTTTATTGGTTATTTATATATATACTTGATAAAAAATATTTTGATTCAAATATGTTGGTTTTAAAATTCATTAATTCCTTAGCAAAAATTGTACTTGAAATTAGAAAAAAAAAACTGTTTGGCCTGAGGTCAAGTTTCCATCTGCAATGTGGCCAGACTATCGAAATATTTGCCCAACCCTGCTTTATAGTATAGTAGCTCACATAGCGCTCGCTCGCTTAGTTAGCAATGTAGTTTAACGATAAATGAGACAACTTCTAAACGGTTTCAACGGTTCATACAAGTTGTTTCATTTGTGGATAGTGCGCGTGAAAATATAAGAAATAAACCACCAAACCAACTGGACCATAGACATTAGAAAAAAACAATGTATTATCTGTATTCTTATATTACTGCATATTTAAACAATTATAGCATTATATTTTGGTTTATGACATTTTATATCATCACCATAACTTAGTAATGTTTTACAATTATTTATTTAATTACAACAATTGGGTAATTAATTGTTTATAGTATTTGAATTGTTTAAATTAATTTATTTGTAATAATCAAAAAATATATTGAATAACGGTATTAAATTCCATGAAAAAAAAAAACCGCTAATAATGTTTTAAGTTATTTAAGTTTAGTATTCAGTGAATACCTTGTGTCAAAAAAGAGGGAAAATAGAGGTGCCGGTTGAAAATCAGCCAGGCTACCAGTATGATATAACTGAATCGGTAACCTATTTATGGTGCAGTCGTGAGACGCAATCGCATATATGGTATTTTAATACTTATTATTTTTATTGTAATTTCGTGTCCGAAAATTGTATCTTTTGTGTCATATTTTTTTCCAGTATAAATAAATCGTTCATCTATTAATTATCAATCTTCAACTTAAATTAATATAATATTACTTACGGTTACTAACTAGCTAAAAATAAATTAACACAAATAAGAACTTACAATAACTAGAAATTTATTATAAAAGAACATTCAACTATCTATTATTCTAGGTAATATATTTGTCTTCGTATACTCCCGGATCTGGTGATATTGTCACGGCGTTCGTGAGATGTTTGTTCGTCTCGGAATGCTCCTGGAATTAAAAACAAAAACAGTAAAGTTAACAATTTTCCCAACCGATAATAACGTGACAGTAAATCACTTCATAGGTAGTATTAATAATAATATACTTTGTTGCACACGATAGAGACAGGAAAACAACACGAAATTACACGGTATAACAATAGAAAGTACACAAAACGCTGCCTATATTTCTAAACAGTAACCTCTTCCAGACAATCCATGGAGTAGGATGGAAAAAGTAAAAGGTAAATGTCAAAAGTATACGGTTAACAATATCTTTACATATTAATTTTAAAAAGTTATAAGTAGACAACCTTAATATCAATTATTGCTCCTTGGCTGTGTCTTTTATTTAAACAGCATAGCTTAAAACCTTTACACCAGTGGCTTCTAACCTAGGGGTAATTCCGGGGCTATTCTATGGAGGCAACAAAGAACCTAATAATCAAGACTAAGGGACATTGGGCAAATAAAATAAAAAAATATCGAGAAAACGAAATTTCCTTTCCTAAGACTTATGATTAACAATTTTTTTATATAGATAATTAATATTTTTTAGTACTGTGGGTGTTACTTAAAAATATCGATGTCACTAAAAATCGTGTATTTTTTTTAAACGGAACAGTCTTCAAACTTTAAAAAGGTAACAATTAATACTTATCTTAAAAGCGACTTAATTATTCGAGAAACTGTAATAAAATTGGAGCGGAGGTTTTATGTAGGTTATTAAATAAAAACCGCATTATAACGTTAAAGTCAGTTTATTTCTTTTATTTCCGGTGGCAGTAGGTTAGAAAAAGAGAAAAAGAATGGAAATATTGCTAAACAATCACAACATTGAATGTTTTGCACTGACTACATATTTTCCTTTATTAAAATTTCGCCGTTGGAAGATATTCTGACGAATTATCAGTTCATTTAATTTCTTTCAAGTTCGTCTGTTCCTCCTAATCTAGCGCTTTATAAATTAATTTATACTCTTTTATAAACGTTCATATGATTTGTTCCTCCTAATGTACTTAGCCGCTGTTAATTTTATTTAATTCTTTCGAGAAGAAGAATAATGAAGAGATACTTATAATAAGTAACAAAAGAGAATCCTGCTCAATACCAAAGATGATGAGAAACTTTTTGCGACACGAAAGCTTATTAAAATCATACAAGACAAAATAGAACGAACCCAGATGACTTTAAACAATCTTCGCTCGTACTAAGATGACAAGTTGATTACAAAAGCAAGAAAACAATAGTAATATGTCGTTGTGATCCTTTGAACTATGTTTGAAAAACTAAAATGTTTTGCGTGTGCGGGAGAAAAAGAATTTGCACAATACAAGTAGCAGTTTATTAAATTTTATACTGACGTGTTCGTTATCTGCTCGGCTCGATTCACTGAACGATTTCATCATTCTCTGGGATCTTTTTTGTGCAGACGCAGCTCGCTGTTGAAGTATCTGAGGGTGAAGAAAACCATATATAATACTAATCGAATATTAAACAAGCACTTCAAATTCAAATTGATTTTAATATGAAAATGTAACACTATCTGACAACACTTGAAGGCTAAGTGCATTTTGATCGAATCAAGTGCCAACTAAATCGATGCTAGTATAGATATACGCTACCATGTTCTTGTGTACATTTATTTCGTGAATATGACCATGTTATCTTCCTCATATATATGCAATTTATTAATGCTTCAGCCATTTAATACATTGAAAGCAGAGAGCACGGCCGTATTTATCAAACTCAGGGTTTGTGTCTTTCGCCGACAGATGTCGCAAAAAAGCTACTTTCGAACACGGAACTGATTCCTTAGAAAGTAGCACGTGAGAAGTTGGCGGGAGTTACAAATTTTATGAAATAATAAATTAAAAGAACTGGCGACAACAGTCTTATAAACGGGATAAATATTTGTAGGCTACTTTTGTTAAAATAAAGCTTTCGAATCTGCTTAATAATTAAGCGGCGTTATCCCATTCAATTAATTAGCAAATGCACCGTGGAGAGCTTTAATTAATCTATCGGGCAATGATGAAAGGGCTAAATTGAATTTCTGGTTTACTTTTGAGTTAATTAATTTGCTGAAATTTAAATATCTTCCCTACTTGTTTGCATCTATTATTTAAAACGGATTTATTTGAAGTTACTACTGTTTTTGATTTTTTTTCTTTTATTCTTAATACAAAATGCTTAAAAAATCCATCCGGTCCCTGGCACCCTGAGATGGGAATCGAACCCAACGACCTTTCGCACCTTTCGACCTTTTGAGGAAGAAATGAGAGTGAGGAATACGAGTTTTATGTATTTTTTTTATTGTCATCTAAGTTGTGATGAAATGAAATGAACGAAACGAAACGAAACAAAACGAATTGAAATGAAAATATCTTTATTCAAGTAGGCTATTACAAAATTTTTACCCCTACTACTTGTTCAGGACGTCTTTTAGCTGACAAGAAGAACAAGCGAAAGAAACTTACCAGCTTTTATCATAAGAAATGACATTTACATAAATCATGTCATTACCAAATAATACATATATTGAACAATAATAAATACAAGTTTCAAAGTCTGTAGGACATAGGTTGGTATAATTACATACCTATAATTAGTCGTTATAGAACAGAGCGAAGGCTATTAATTCCATGCATTGCGGTCCTTTAAATAATCATCAACTTTATAATAGCCTTTACTCAAAAGTATATTCTTCACATGAATTTGAAATTTATTTATGGGTAGGTCGATTACATTTTGTGAAACTTTATTGAAGATAGCAATACATTTATCCAGAAATGATCCTCTGGTTTTTTGAAGTCTGAAGCTTGGAACGGCAAGTTTATTTTTATTTCTTGTGTTAAGATAATGAACACTACTTTTTTTTGTGAAGGAATCGTAATGTTTTCTTGTATACATAATATTCTCATAGATGTATTGAGAGGCAACTGTCAGAATATTTATTTCTTAAAATAAATATATCTCTGAGAGATTCCATAGACCGTAAATTATATATAGCACGTACAGCTCTCTTTTGTAGAATAAAAGTATCCTGAATGCTAGCCGCAGAACCCCACTACAATATACCATACGTCATTACACTATGAAAATAACGAAAATATACCAATCTTGCCGTTTCAACATTTGTCAAGAGTCTAATTTTCTTAACAGCAAAAGCTGCAGAACTCAGTCTACTTGACAAGCTATCAATATGAGGATCCCATTGCAGTCGGGAATATAGTGTTATACCAAGGAACTTTGTCGATTCTACTGACTCAACTTTTTCACTATTTACATTTATAAGTGTACTGACATGCCTCACATTAGGTAATGCAAACTTTATGCATTTCGTTTTATTTGAATTGAGCTTTAAATTATTATTGTCAAACCACTGTAGAACATCGTCGAGAGCATTATTTACATCGTCAAAACAATCATTACCCCTCTCAACTTTAAACAGTAATAAGGTGTCATCTGCAAATAATACTGTCTCGCACAAATTCTTCGTAAAGTGAGGAAGATCATTAATATAAATTAGAAAAACCAATGGTCCTAATATCGATCCCTGAGGTACGCCTATAGTAACTGGTGCCCCTGCAGATTTCGCTTCATTAATTACTACTTTCTGAATTCTGGCAGAAAGATATGATTTTGAAGTGAATTTTTCGTCACACCATAATGCTCTAATTTCCCCAACAGTGTTTCATGACTAACGCAGTCGAATGCTTTTGATAGATCGCAAAAAAATGCCAATAGCATCTTGTTTATTCTCCCAAGCATCATAGATATGCCTCAGAAGTGCAATTGATGACCCTAATTATATGCATTGTTTACATTTTTCCCTCATCGAATTTGAGTGGAGTATAATTAAAACTCGTATAGAGAAAACTGATAAATATGTGAGTCATTTATACCCGAGGGAATTATACAATAATTTTACACTATTTTATAATAGATTATGAGTAATTGAATAAATACCGATTTCTTATTCCGATGGACATAGTGTTTAGCATATTTTTTAAAGCGCGTGTGAGTGTTCCCCGTATGCACTTAAATTGTTCTATTGAATCTATTTATTCAAATCTCATGCATACTGCAGTATGTATTACGTTAATAGACAATCGTAAATTATTCTCCGAATATGGGCCCTATAAAAATACGCCTTGAGGCTGGCTCAGACTAAAATGTTCCCGCGGGGATTCCAGAGTACATAAAAACACTCTTATATAAAAAGCCATCGTTGCTTGAAAATTTCAAATCGTTCCCGATTGGATCTACTTTGTGATGTTTTCTGACATAAATTTATCGAGGTCAAATTTTATATTTATACATTATTTTTTAAAAAGGTTTTACCAGCCCTGGCTTCTATGGCCTTCAGCCGATATTTATACGTATTAAGATACCACAGAGTACATATTTATATATAAGCTGAGTGGTTCGCACGCCGGTTTCAAGGTATCGCCATCTCTGAGATCTCGGTTTCGATTCCCGGTCGGGTCAATATAGAAAATGAACTTTTCTATATTATCCCGCGTCTGGGTGTTGTGTTACCTTCATTGTCTCAGATACTCCATAATACGGGGGCTTTAGCTACTCATCTTGGAATCTGAGCAATGCATATGTAATGTTATCTTATACTTATTTATTTATCGTTGAGATTTAATTTCCAAAAATTTTTTCTGACATTAATGATGTGTCACCAATGAAGTTCCGTACCCAAAGAGGTACAAATGGGACTCTATTACTAAGACTCCGCTGTCCCTATGTCTGTCAAGTGTCACCAGACTGTATCTCATGAATCATGATAGCTAAACAGTTGAAACTTTCACAGATGATGTATTTCTGTTGCAGCTATAATAACAAATAATAAAAACAGAATAAAATAAAAATTGAGGGGGCTCCCATGCAAAAAACATGATGGTTTTATAGAAAATACTACGGCACACTTCATGTGATAGTGCGACTCGTTATTGGCCGCCTTTTTTCTTTGTCAAAACAATTTAAGATTACACGGAAGATCCCGCGTTTTACCGAACAAGGTGCACTACCTATATATAAAGTCTTTTGGCTCCTAATCGATAATATTGAAAATATATTTATTTGTCTTATAAAAACAAACGTTGATATGGTCCGCGGGTGTTACAAAATTAGACAAATTTCGAAACGAACACATTCCTGGTAGTCTGGTAGCTACAAAGTGGACCCTATAATTAATAATGCATAGAGAAAGAACTTCTATGATTTCGATGAACTTTAGCTATCATAATAACATTAGCCGGAACTAGTTTTTACAAAAAATATATAAAATATTTAAATACACGATGACTATTGAAAAGTAGAACATAAATATTACATTGTAATACTTTTGATTAGGTCGAAGGTTGTGAGTGACATTTCACTATAAAACATGATTCATTTCTATTCGAAACTATTTTGGTAAAATATATAGTATGTGACACCACGCAACGTAATTGATATGATGACTAGATGAAAATGTTACCAAGAAGGTCAGTGCTTGCGTGTATTTAATACATCGACATAGAATATTAATGTATATATATAATTACCAATTATCTACTTCGACTAATCAATTACATGTCAATAATTATTACCGACAAAATAAATTGTTATAAATTACAACAATTATTGTATTCTATCTGAATAGTTTTTCCCATTAATTAAAAAATCCAAAATTGAATGGAATAGAATAGTATGGAATCATTAATTTGTAATTGAACAGGGTAGAATGTACAAGACGATAAATAGTCTAAAAAATCTAGTAACAAACATGAATCTGAAAATACGAATATATGAAAGTTCTTAGAACTGGCCACTTATAAACAATATAATAAAAAAATAATTCTAAAATTTGAAAATATAACTCTTTGCCAATATTACTGAGTATATATTTCATTCATTTGTCATTTGTTTTACGATTTGGCGGCAAATTGAAAATTGTCTGTGTCACGTCATCATGAATTTAACACGAGAAAATTTTCGTGCAATGATTTTTTATGACTTTCGATGTCATTTAAGTCAACAAGAAAGTTATGATAGACTACGATTGGCCTTTCACGATGAAGCCCCATCTCGTGCGACTGTTTACAACTGGTTTAATGAGTTTAAACGTGGTCGCACTAATCTCACTGATGATTTACGTGAGGGACGGCCTTCTACGGCGACGACTGAAGATAACATCTGTGTTGTGCGGCGTATGATAGAGACTGACAAAAGAGTGACCTATCAACAGATTCGGACAAGCTTAGGCATCGGTATGAGTCAAGTGCACAAAATCCTCCACGAACATTTAGCGGTCAGGAAGCTTTGCGCCCGGTGGATACCTCATAATTTGACTGAGGCTCAAAAACTCCATCGTGTGGATTGGTGTCGTAAAATGATTGAAAGATTTAACGGAGGTGACTCAAATGCTGTGTTCGACATACTAACAGGTGACGAAAGCTGGATTTACTGTTATGATCCTAAAACCAAAAGACAATCTGCTCAGTGGGTGTTTCCTTTCGAGGAGTTGCCAACTAAAGTGAAGAGAGATCGAAGTGCGGGAAAAAAAATGGTGGCCTCGTTCTTTGGAAGGATAGGTCATTTTGCAACAATTGTGTTAGAGGATCAAAAAACAGTTTCTGCAGAATGGTACACTACCAATTGTTTGCCACTTGTCTTGGAAAAAGTTCGAGAGAAACGACCTCGCAGTAGGATCCTCCTTCACCACGACAACGCCTCGTCGCACACCGCCAAGCGAACGATCGACTATTTGGCGACATCAAACGTTGAATTACTAGGTCACCCGCCGTATAGCCCCGACCTCGCGCCTTGTGATTTTTATTTATTTCCAAAAATTAAAGAAAAACTTAAAGGAAAGCGGTTTATGAATGCTGAAGAAGCGGTGGCTGCGTATCGCGATGCCATTGAAGAGACCCCTAAGGACGAGTGGGCAAAGTGCTTTTCCCAGTGGTTCCATCGCATGCAGCGGTGTATTGACGTGAATGGACAATATTTTGAAAAGATATAATAAAACTAATAACTGGCTAATGTAATCAGTTTTTGATTTTCTAAGAACTTTCAGTTTCCTACTCCAAAGCCAAAGTTAATAGCACAAGTTGAGTTCGTTCCCTTCCCTATGTGTGGTTAGTGGATAGCCATGTGCGTTAGTGTATCTATGTATGCTACAGTTAAAAAATTTAGACAGAACGCGTTTTTCTTTGTTAGAACTGGATTTTTCTAAATGCTCTTTTAAACTAGAAGTACCTAGTCAAGACTGGAATTGTCACTTCGAGCTTTAGTTAAAACTAATACTAGATATAAGATTATGATTTCGAAGTCTGGTGCAACAATAGTTAACAGCAACGAAAAATTATAAAAACGAAGGTTACGTGATAGATTAGAAATTTACAACATCTTAAATTTAACAGATATTAAACTATGACAGAATAAACAAAGTTATTTTTTATTGACTCGCTTCAGAAAAACGCGTCTGTCTAGTAAAAACTAGTTTTATCTGATATACAATTTTGAGCATTCGCCAATTCTAGTTTTAACAAAGGTATTTGGTAAAAACTATTTCTAACTGGGTGTTGACGACAACTTTGCCAGCCTCTTTAGATAAGTGTTTTTATATTTTTTAATTTGAATTTATTATGACTTTTGTCACTTATTGTCTTTGATTGCTGTCTGTCTCTTGTATCTTGTGTTTTTATGCGTATTCTTAAGACCGATGTAATCGACGGCAGAAGCATGTGGACTGTTGTTAATAAAAGATTTAATTTAGCAAAGAAAAAATATTAAAAAAAACGTATAAAAGCACAAGATACAAGACAGACAGATAAGCAAAGATAATGAACAAAAAGTGACGAAAGTACATAAGTATTTGGATAGGACTTTTGTCACTTATTGATTATTGTTGCTGTCTCTGTGTATCTTGTGCTTTACGTACTCTTAAATAGCTTTTTTCTGTTGCTAAATTATCCCTTTTATTACTGTAGTCCACTGTACCTACTGTCGATCACACTGAGGAATACGCGTTCTATCTAAAAACTGGTTTTAACTGTTAACTATATATACTCGTAGAAACATTAACTTTGGGTGATTTTTTTTACCCGAAACCATAATTTGTAATCAAAGTCACGATTGTTCAGCAAACTAACAAAAGCATAGAAAATTTTATTTACTCCATTCGATAGTGGGAAAACTTCACTCACAGTAAGTCGTCGCTGCTCAGCTTCTGCCAATTTTTCTTCAATATCCGGTAAGCTGATGTCAGCTTGTGACGGCTGCAACAACCGCTGCAAATGTGGCGGCGGCGTGTTAGTATCCCGTCGGTTTCCATCGATTTCTTCCAAAGGGATTTCGAATGCGATTGCTGGAAGCAAAATCATTAAATCAAAATTTGATCTTTAAAAGTTTTAAGCTGAATTCCTATTTATTTCTCTTAGTAAGCTAATACCAAATAAACTGAAGTAATATAGAGTAACAAATAATGCTCGTAGTCGTGTAAAGCTGTGGTGAAATGGCGACATTGGAATGAAAAATGCCCGCAAGGTAAACAGATCGTTGGTGTGATGACATAAAAAGAGCAGCTGGAACAAAATGGTTGGAGATTGCCCAAGACCGAAAAGCTAAAAGAGGCGTATACCCAAGCGGTAGAAAGTGGCTGAAGAAAAAGAAGCATAAGTTTATATTCATGTTATATATCTGTAGCATCAAATTGACATTAACTTGTTCCTTTTTTAGTTTTTACTGCTGATTGCATTTCATTCATTTATTTTTACTTTACTAACTACAAAGACGGAAAGATTAAATTATTGTTTCTGCTGAACTTCTGCCTCAATTATAGTTGACATAAGTGATAAAATTCATAGGGTATTTTTATATCCAAGCACCTATGTACAAAATTTGTAAGTATTATAATATAAGTTTACAAATACTTTATTAATATTACCAAAATAACTAACCTAAACCTTGGTACCTACGTTGTCTCTGACACTCCATGATAAGGGCGCTTTAGCTACTCATCTTGGAATCAGAGTAATGTATGTGATGTTTGCAAATATTTATTTATCATTTAAACATTCAGAAGAATTAACTCACGAGGCTTTGGTTTTATCGGTGTCTCCGGTAGCACTACAGTTGGTAAATCGTCATTATCACTGTCATGATGACCATGTAAGTTCTGGACTCCATTTTTAGCTTTACTGTGGCCGTTGGCAGCCTCCTCATGAGCAGGCACCACGTTGCCCGATGATCCGCAGCCCATTTTGTGTCTTCTTACGATGGTCTTGAGTTCATTTGACCCTTTGACTTTGTATTAAGCATACCTGTATATAAAAAAAAACAAATTCTATTCCATATACATAATTAAACCTTCTTAGTTTATTTTTCACAAAGAAGGTTTTATTATGTATATGGTGTTACGGGAATTTATTTTTGACATATTAAATATCGCTTACTGTGTTTCATTTGGTGGTGAAATAATATTTTCCGAGGAATGTCTTTAAAATTCTAATGATTCTCTTTGAAACTTTATCCATCATCTATTTGAAGGTAAAGTTCAAAACATTATAATGCTTCTGGAAGAGATTTGTTGTGTTTTTTAATATTCGTTTGATCTTTCTGTTATATTTGTTTTGTATTTCTATTATTATTGTAAACTCATTGTAAATAATGTTACTTATATAATGATCTTAAAAACTTGGCAATATTCCTTTGCCATCTATATACTCGTACTTTCGATAAAAATCAAATTATAGTGTTTAGAGTCTATATCGAAACCGTTGCCTCGCCGTTTATAAGAACGTTTATCATGTTCCAAGGTGACAGCACGAAATGAGCGCGCGAATTTACCGATTCAGTCCAGTTTAACTTAGAAAGATTAATAGACGATCCATTGTTGTAAATATTAGAATAATAGTGAAGGAACACAACATACATGTTGCAGAAAATGAAAACTGTGGTTGACCTTTATTTTTTAGGAGCAATTGTCTAATCTTTAATAGAGGCTAGAAGGAATATGGATAGTTGAAACAATGAAGTCATGTCGGTTAATAAATATTTAGGGTTGGGAGTGAGTGTTATGGGACTCGCTCATGGTTTTCCGAGTCTCATCCCCAGAAGAGAGTCGACGTAGAGCTTTTGTGGATATAAGAGATTACAGTCTATTTTTCATTTGGTTGTATTTAATCCGAAAGAATTTAAACACAGCAATAATTCTTAAAGCCTCTTTTATTCTTGTACACCGGATAAATGAGTCACACAAAATACTTAGCATCACAGACATATTCACCGCAGATCACCTTAGGAACAACAACCATAGAATATAAATTTATAACAGTCTACGAATGTGGAATAACGATAGAACAGTCTAGTTTTTAACCACTGTATGTACTTTCACACAATCCATCCGATCTGTAAAATCTAGCCACAATGACGAAAGATAAATTGTATGATAAAAGACTTATAATTGAATGCAAAGAAAACAAAAAATTGCAACTGGAATTTGAAAAAGAAATACCGGAAGGATTATGATTGATGGTTTAGTGGAACAAGTGGATAGTATACTACCTAACCTTTACCTTGGATATGGTTTTAACGGGGGTGGAATATACGCCGCTGACATAGGAAGGAGAGTGAATGTTAGAAATAGTATAAATAAAGCACTGGAAAAACTTTTTTGGCAGTAAATCCATGAGCCAGAAATCATAGTTCGCAATTATAGACAATACAGTGCTAATTCCTATTTAATTTTAGTTATAGGCCGAAATGGCCAAATATGTAACTAATCTTTATTTTGATTAAAATTTCACAGAAATGAAGCCGCTTATGGAAGATGAAGAAGAATTAAAATCACTTGAATTTATGGATCTCTTAACATTAGAATGGTAAACATTACTTACTATTAATTTTAAAATGAAATGGGGTAACATATGAGACAGACACAATATAATCTATCTGTAATGCATAAGCAAACATTTGTGGTATTAAGTAATTGCATGTATTATTCACACAGGCGCCTTATAACTTATGGGTATATTCACCTATGATACGAGTAAATTACTCATAGTAAAAGTTCAATTATTTTATATCGTTTATTGTTTCATTTCAATACAATCTTCGTTTACCGTAACCCTTGGTAGCTTTTAATAGAATGTAATTAAGTGCTTAATAATATTTACTCACATGGCGAAAAATAATTACAGTACTTTGTGGCACTTGGTTATCTTTGCCTAATTTGCAATGGCTTATTTATATATTGACCAACAGGGCCCACATGAGGAGTGGGAATAAGAATGGTGACTGAAAATGACCCACAGACATCTTCCACCTTCTGCACCTAAGTCCTATCGACAAATGTAAGGTATCTGGCGTGTGCCACAAATAACTGAAAAAAAAGGACTTGACAGTGAATCATCACTTTATCTCAGGTTAGAGGTTTTGATTTAAGGTTCTTCTCCAGAATGGTTTTCGCTTCTTTCAGATATTTTTGATCAACAAACAGAGCAGTTTAGTACGAGGTAACAACATTTTGGCCACCTATCCTGATGTTGAAACTTGTTAAATCTTGCAGCCCGATTATGTGCTGGAAAGGAGTTCAAGGACGAATTTGATGTTTGGATTTATTGCTGGAGTTTGCTATATTGTATTTATCAAAATATTTGATAACATTATATATATTTATGATATATTTTCAGCCTGATTTCTACAGCTTTCCATTTGAGCTGCTTAAAATACTGGCATTAATATTTAACAAAAAAAAGATGGGCAATTTTAAATCTTAAAAGGCAATTTTTCGCGTATATCTACTAAGATTTTATAAGCTGTGAAATAACCATTCGTTATTCTCTTAAGAAAACCATTAAAGTGTGCGACATTTTTCTCTATTTTTCATGAAAACACGACACCGGCTAATAGGAAAATATTTCCAGCAATTCACCGCATTTCCGGAGCACTTACAAGATATCCACCGATCTTGCCGGCGAGAAATTTCCAACAAGAATATAGCCATTCTGTAGCATGGATCCCGATATTCTTGGAAGCTTTCTATTTAATCAGCTAGATACAGATCTTGACTACGAAAGGTAGATTGGTACACAATTGGATTTCGAATTTGAACAATTGAATTTATTATACGATTTTATTTATTACATTGTTAAAAAGAAATTTAGGTTAATTAACCCATCAATTTTCTTAAACATTCCCTGAACGAGCAGATAATGATATTCTTTATCCTTTTTAGAATAATTGATAACACAATTACGACATAAAGCAATTAATTAATATTTAAACTTTAAAAATAGAAAAGTGAATTAATTAATTATATTATACAGAAAACAAAAATATAACAACCAAGAGAATCGTATATACTTATTATTATGTAGATGTAGACCAAGGGAAAGGGGGGAAAGGGGGGTACTCAAAGGGTAAATAAGTGGGTATATGTAATTACATTTTTTAAACATGGGAATAATTGTACAGGGCTTTCATGATACCCAATAACTGATGTAAACAACATTGTTTGAAATTATATTAAGCTAATTGGAAATAAAAAATAGTATCATATAAATTAAGACAGAACAGAAAAACATTGAAACATCAATGTGTGGTTTTATTTATTACACAACACAAAAAGTTTTTACAAACAACAGTTTAATCGACGTTCAGACATGATTTCCCAAAAATATTTAATTGTTAAATATATATCCGCGAAATTCGTAGCATATTTTAATAGACACATTTCGCCTATTGTTCAAAATGCGTTAGCTGGCGACGAGAAGGAAGAATGGTGGTCAATGTTACATATTGGATTTGATTCGATTACATCCTGTGTTCCAGCAATCGGGGCATTTGGTATATATTGCCACGTCGTGTAAATTGCAAAGTGGCAATTACTTAAATTATGAAACCGAATTATGAACCGGTCTAGAGACTGACGCTGCGGAACATGTATCATCAGACACCGAACGAAGCGACGGTGGCTTGCGACAAGCGACACTTTTGTTTTAAACATCAATGTAAGGTATCTAAAGCCTTTGTTTCAGCGTCAGCATAGGCACATATGGTAAAAAGTTTATTTTATCAAAATATAATATTTCTCAAATTTCCAATAAGGAAGAGTAAAAGTATTTATTTATTTAATCTTCATTGCGATACAGTAAAGGACTAATATCGAGTGAAAATATGGACAATTCTGGCCCGAAAAAGTGGTGGTGAATGCTGAGAATATCTTGGACTGCAGACCACACTAATGCGTCTATCTTGACTCAGTTCATAATAAAAACTGCCCGTTCACCATATATCTTCATAACTACATATTCCTGCGTATTTTGATCACACATGCACATAAGCGATGAAATTTTGAAAAAACTGACTAGTAGGAAGCACTTAAAGCAAAAGATAATACCATTATTCATCAACTAGATAAGAGATTCATCTTCGTCCAAATTTTGTCCAAGAGACGAGTTGGTCTGTGTCCGGCGGAGGCAAATCATTGAAACCAAATACATCCCTGAAGTTGACCTTATTCACAAGGAACTGATTATGAAAGAGATCTCATATCCAGACTCGAAACTATATATTATTAAATAGTACCTCATCCGATCAAGACTTGAACCTGGCCCTTTAAAAATGACCTAAGCGATGTGACGTATTTTAAAATAACCAAAGGGCCTACTTTGTTTATCCACGAACGCATATTCAGAAAATTTTGAATCGTACTTATAATTTTGTTAATATTATATATGTGAAGATTATCTATGCATCAGAGGCAGTGTCCTGTCCTTCCTTCATTGCATAATAATTTATCGGAAAAGGCGTTTCTTTAGTACCACGGGCTCTAAAATGTCACTCTGATTATTCTTGTCATTCACCTTGACACCTTGTTGGCAGAAATGGAGCGGAGTGATATCTTCATATGAATCTCCCCACCATACCATCACACTAGCCGGATTGATGAGTGCGCGTGACATTCCGTGCAGAAACTGGGACATCTTTTCTATTTTTAGCTTATACTTTATTGTTTTGTCGGTTGAGCTTTTCCTCGACAATAACAATTTTCTCGTCGGTGAAGAGTATGTTCCTGGCATCATGTCTCCTCACCAGCAATGGACAACGTTCGCGTCGTATCTTACGAAGACGATCATTTAAAAAGTGAACTTTGCTACGGCTATAGGCCTTTCTTTACCTTAAGATCGTATTTCAGTATTCTGTTCACTGAAAAAAAAATTGTAATAATACTGATATATTCTATTTGGAAATCGTAGG